GTCGCACTTCCTCTCTAGATAACGTTTATTCATTAAGGCAGGATTGTTATCGTTACTAAAGAATCTTGGACTTGTATAATGTACATATGTACACCTGTATTAATACCCAACAAAATAATAAATCATTTTTCGCTTGTATAATGTACATATGTACACCTGTATTAATAATATGTATTAATAAACAAATTCTATTACTCACTTGTCTTGGTAAAATACAAAAATCGACTTTCTATGTGTGCGTCTATTTTTTTTCCTCGTACTATATGTATGATAGTAAACAAACAAAAACAGAAAATTATATCGGTGAAACAGGTACGGAATTCCTTGTTTGATTTAATAACTATAAAAAACTATCAAAGACGACAACATCAATTTTACTGTCGCTGCACATTTCAACCAGCCGGACCATGGCATTGATAACGTTAGATGCGTCTTTTTAACATCATTTAAATGCCACCAAGAACTCGTGATTACAAAACATTAAAGATAATTTCTTTTTATAGCATCAACCGTACCAATTTCTAGGTACTTTTGATCCTTCGTATATTTTTCAATTTTTACATACGGTTTGGGGAGGACTACACGTGCTTTTGAAGTGACAGTAGAAAACCTTGACCTAGATAACAACTAACGGGGTACTGTGTAGACGTAATCCTTATTTCCGTTATGTATGATTTTTTTTTTTGCAAAATATAATTAAATAAACCTTAAATTTACTAATCGTCCTATTGGCGAAAGATAATATAAGCAAAACGCTGGGGTTGAGGGGGGCACGCGGATTGGGACGGCAGAGGAAGACTATGCGTGCTTTGGGAGTGGCAGTAGACAACCTCTGTTTTTGACCTATGACCTAGATGACAGCTATCGCGTAGAAATAAACATTGTTTTCCTTATGTTTTAAGCAAAATATAAGTATAAATTTTTTGGGGAAAAAAACAATTAAATAAACTTTAAATTTACTAATTTACGTCGAAAGAAACCTCCACGACAAATATAGTATTTTTAAGATTTTTAAATTTATAATTTACATTTCTTAGAAGTTCGACTAATGATGACTGACCGCGTTTTTTTTTTTAAAAAAAAGTCTTAAATCTTTATTTACATATTTTGCAAATTAGCTTTCGTCGTTTCTTTTCCACTAAAACCAAAATTTAACTTCAAAGAATAGATTTAAGTTTTTAAAAGTGTGTCTTCGCTTTCTCTGTTTTTGGTGGATTTTTGCTGGCGGGGGGAGGTCCGTGCTGATCGAGAGATAAGAGAGAAATGGTAACCAAAAATCTAAGCTAAGATTTGCAAATCAGATTTTCCTTTCTCCTAGACCAATTATTCTCAACCATTTTTACTTCAGGTCGACCTTGAAGAATAACTAAAACTCTGGGGTGGACTGTAAATTTTAATAACGAAAAACTAGTCAAGAAATTTGAATAATCAAGATGTCTCCTGAAATAAACATTTATTTTTAAGTCATGACTGTTATGGGATCTTACCCATAATAATAATAATGGACTATTCCATACTGAATAAATACTGCGCATCAAGAGTAGGCAAGGAGTCGGTCAGGCAGTCGACTGGCTGATCAGTTGAACTCTCTGCCTTCGGGCAGGGAGGAACCCGAACGAGGCTACGGGTTCGATGGGCATATTTTTGGCCGAGCCCCCGGGTTCGGAGATCCCACGTTAAAAAGGCCTTGTGCCACATGATGCCCATCGTCAGTCGCTCAAGTCGCTCTCTGCCTTCGGGCGGGTAGGAACCCGAACGAGGCTACGCCGAAGAGCGGAGTCTCTTTCGGGGAGGTAAACCGACCCTGAACCCGTTTATACGGGTTCAATGGGCATAGTTTTAGCCGAGCCCACGGGCTCGGAGATCCCACGTTAAAAAAGCCTTGTGCCACATGACGCCCTCGTGGGGGGGTGACTGAATATCGTCAGTCAGTTAGTCACTAGTTCAAGTCTAGTCAAGAGTCGAGTCAGAGGCAGTCCGAAACAGAGTCGCGTTCAGACGATTACTGCAAGACATTGGAATAGTGATACTGGTCGAGACTACATTGTTCTCTCTACTAAACCTGATTGTTCAGACTAACACATCTACTTCTCTGTATATATTCCTGTTTGTAATATATCTGTGTTATTCCATACCTGTGTTCGAGTTCCTCTTTATTGGTTCTAGCTTGGACTATCACCGTGGTCCAAGGAACCGGACCATAACAATTACATTTGTATATTTACGTCTACTTGAGTAAAACTTGTACTTGGCGTGCTTTGGTAAAGAAGACAGTTACATTTAATTGTCTTGATACACTCCTTAAAGATTATGAAGCTTTGCATCCAGTTTAAAATAACAAATGGCGAAGATCTGACTTAGACACAGAAGCCGTGTTCTTGGTGTCTCTTGCTTTTTAAATATAAATATTTTTTTTTAATATCAAATTAATAAATTATTCTTCTTTGAGTGCACCTGGCAACGTTTCAGAGCGCACTACTTGAGAAAATATTAAAAACTGTTTTCTACATGTACATGTGGCATGTAGAAATTAGAAAAATTAGGTCCGAGAGGCGAACCCATTGATACGCAGGCAGTCCGTGTGAATACGTTGCTTTAGAGATCATAAAAAAGTTACTTGTCTCGTGCAAAACAGAAGAGGTTTATTCAGAATAGTCAGTCTAATTGTTAATTGTTAGGATAGCTTTACCGGTTATCCTATTTATGAAGTTGTTGTTTTTTTTTTTTATATTGCAGTCAGTCTACAACAGAGTTTCTCAAGTCTTTCTTTTTACTTCAGGGCGACCTTGAAGAACAGCTAAAATTCTGAGGCACACTTTAAATTTTAAGAAGGAGAACATTAGTCATAAAATTTAAATATAGAAAAATATTAAAGAAGTATTTTGAAATAAGCATTTAATTTTAAGACATTACTTTTGTATATTTACGTCTACTTGAATAAAACTTGTGCTTGATGTGTTTTGGCAAAGAAGACATTTACATTTGCTCACCAGAGCAGGTCTTTTTTTCCTCAAAGCTTGGTTCAAACGCTCTAAAGAAATTTAGCATCCAGTTTAAAATAACAAATGGTGATGGTCTAACTTAGACATTGAAGTTATGTGACTGGTGTAACGTGCTTTTTAAATATAAATATTTTTTCAATATCAAATTAATTAACAAATAATAAACAATAGAAGAAACTTCGCTACACTACGGAAAAAGAATGCAGTTTTTTCCAATGTTATAGACCAATGTTTCTCAACCGTTTTTTTTTAATTTTTTATTTTATCCGGTCATCCCATAAGTTCTGTCCGAATTTTGAATAAAGAAAACAAGTGACCAAATGTTACATTTAATTACAGATTCAATCAACAATGTATTTTCCCTGATTATCTATGACTTCCTTCCATCTATTAACAAGCTTACTAATTCCATTACTGTAAAATTCTTTTGACTTTGATTCAAAGAACTCACAAATGTCAGTTTTAACCTCTTCCTGTGTTACAAAAGCTGTTTCTTCCAAATGATTCTGTAAGCTACGAAACAAATGGTAGTCTGAAGGAGCAAGATCGGGAGAATAAGGTGGATGAGGAATTTTCTCCCAACCAAGTTCTTCGATCTTTTGTGACGTGATTCTTGGTTTGTGGGGTCGCGCATTTTCCTGATGAAACATCAACCCTTTTCGATTCACTAGAGCAGGTCTTTTTTTCCTCAAAGCTTGGTTCAAACGCTCTAATTGCTGACAGTATATTTGAGCATTAATTGTTGCATTACGTGGTAAGAATTCAAAGTGGATTATTCCTTGGCGATCACATCAGATTGAAAGAAGAACCTTTTGCCCATGAAGTTCCTTTCTCGGCTGTGGCTGGGGTCCACTGCCTGCGATGCTTAACATTTAGGTAAAAGATCCATTTTTCGTTGCCAATCACAAGTCTATCCAAAAAAGGTGAAACAAGTTGGCGAGAATGGAGAGAAGAGCAGATGTCAACTTGGGATTTGAGGTTGTTTTCAGACAATTCATGAGGCACCCATTTTCCAAGTTTAGGAACTTTTCCAAGTTGTTGAAGATGACGATTAACAGTTGTATGTTTTGAACTGAGAACCACTGTCAATTCCTCAACTGATAAAGCAGGATTTTCTTCAAGGGCTGCTTCAAGAAGCTTTAAATCAAACTCAACTGGACGTTCGATTCGATCTTCATCTTCAAGGGTGAAATCTCCACCTCTGAATTTTGCAAACCATCTTCTGCAAGTTCTTTCATTCACACATTCCTCTCCATAAACTGAGTAAATGTTTCTAGTCGCTTCGGCTGCTGAGTTTCCTTTCTTGAACTCATAAAGCATTATGTGCCTCAAATGATTCTTCTATGTTAGCAGGGTTTTAATCAAACAAAATTTAATTTTATTGTTCTCTGAAATAAAATTTGATCAGTTTAAATGTATCTGAACATAAGAATAATGTTCAGCTCCATTAGACATTATAAAATACTCTTTAAATTTCGTTCATTTTAACAAAAAATTAAAATTCGGACAGAACTTATGGGATGACTTGATATTTTAGAACGCATTTGTAGACTATCTAAAACTCTGGGGGGCACTTTAAATTTTAATATGGAAAAATAAGGTTTGTTTTAAATATAAAAATAATTCATCAATTACTTTCTGTTAACTTGGGGCACATCTGGCACATTTCAGAGCGCATTAGTTGAGAAAGACTGTTCTAAACTGAAGGCCAGCGAAGGCTTTTATTTAATCTATAAAGCCGCGCACTTAGTGTCACGACTTTAAAAAAAAAGAAAGTAACTAAATTGTTTAAATACAAAAATAATTCATAAATTACTCTTCTGTTAACTTGGAGCGTACATGGCCACCTTTCAGAGCACATTAGTACACCTGGACGGACTGGTTTTGAAACGCTGTCTCAGACTTTCAAATTTCTTTCTCGAAGAAGAGAATTCCTTATGTTAGTCTTCGTTTAAGTAACATTCTTACTAAATAAAACATAAAAGAGCGAGTGTGTGTCTACATTGGTATACCAAATCTCTGCCTTAAGAATCGAGGTTGAGAAAAGGGTGGAGACAGAGAGAGAGAGAGAGAGAGAGAGAGAGAGAGAGAGAGAGAGAGAGAATTCAGAAATTTGGTTAACCTGAGACGATTATGTGTTTGGTAATTGGGCCTCTAGGGTGCACAGGTAAGAGTGAAGCTGGGAATTATCTTTCGGTAATAGCGTGATTATTGCCTATCTGACGCTGAGGAATTGGTGTTTTTGGATTATAAATAACATGCAAAGAACACGTTGGAAATCAGAGAGCCTTGATGGGGCTTTCACACCAAGAGTTAACTACTGCATGCCAAAGTCAGAAATTTTACTGATTTAGATGGTGCAACAAAAAAAAAAAAAAAAAAAGAAAGAAAGAAAGAAAAGAAAGAAAAGAAAGAAAGATGAAGGAAAAGAAAGAATACAAGAAAGGAATAATAAAAATAATGATTGTCATGACGTGGGAAAGTGAAAAATGGAACGAAAGAAGAAAGGCGAAAAAAAAAGAAAAAAAAGGTGAAGAAAAAGAAGACGAGAAAGGAAAAGAATAAAAATAACAATGATCAGGATACCAAAAGTTTGAAGAGAGAAAGAAAGATAGTGAAAAGGATAAAAGAAAGAAAGAAAGAAATAAGTGAAACGAATAAAAAGAAGTAAAGAAAGAACAAAAGAAGGAAAACGAAGGAAAGAAAGAACGTAAAGAAATAAAGACGTAGTGAAAGAAAGAGGAAAGGAAGGAAGAAAGGAAGGAAGGAAAGAAAGAAAAAAGAAAAAGAAAGAGAAAAAATAAGTTAAAAATGTAAACATAACAATGACGCTAAGAAAAGACGAATGAATAATGAAGAAAAGACGGATAAAGAAACAACAGTAACGAAAGTATGAAAGAAAAAAAAGAAAGAAAGAAGAGAAAGAAAGAAGAGAAAGAAAGAAGAGAAAGAAAGAAAAGAACGGAAGGACAAAAAGAGAAAGAAAGAGAATTAAGAAGGGAACGAAAGAAAGAAAGAGAACAAAAAAGAGAAAGAAAGAAGAGAAAGAAAAAGAGAACGAAAGAACAAAATGAAAAAAGAGAAGGAAAGAAGAGAAAGAAAGAAGAGAATGAAAGAAGAGAACGAAGGAAGAAAATGAAAGAAAAGAAAGAAAGAAAGAAAGAAAGAAAGAAGAGAATGAAAGAAGAAAACGAAGGAAGAGGATGAAGGAAGATAATGAAAGAATAGAAAGAGAAAGAGAAAGAAAGAAAAGAAAGAAGAGAACGAAAGAAGAGAACGGAAGGAGAAAAAGAGAACGAAAGAAGAGAAAGAAAGAAGAGAATGAAAAAGAGAACGAAAAAAGAAAATGAAAGAAGTGAAGGAAAGAAGATAAAGAAAGAAAGAAGAGAAAGAAAGAAGAGAACGAAAGAAGAGAAAGAGAAAGAAAAGAAAGAAGAGAACGAAAGAAGAGAAAGAGAAAGAGAAAAAAAAGAAAGAAGAGAACGAAAGAAGAGAAAGAGAAAGAGAAAGAAAAGAAAGAAGAGAACGAAAGAGAAAGAGAAAAAGAAAGAAAGAAAAGAAAGAAGAGAAAGAAAGATGAGAAAGAAAAGAACGAAAGAATAGAACGAAAGAGAAGGAAAGAAGGGAGAGAACGAAAGAAGAGAAAGAGAAAGAGAAAGAAAGAAAAGAAAGAAGAGAAAGAAAGAAGAGAAGGAAAGAAGAGAAAGAAAGAAAAGGAACAAGAGAAAGAAAGAAGAGAAGGAAACAAGAGAAAGAAAGAAAAGGAAGAAGAGAACAAAATAAGAGAAAGCGAAAGTGAAAGAAGAGAACGAAAGAAGAGGACGAAATAAGAGAAAGAGAAAGAAAGAAGAGAACATGAGAAGAGAAAGAGAGGAGAAAAATAAAGAAGAGAAAGAGAAAGAAAGAAGAGACCGAAAGAGAAAGATGATGTCAACAGTCATAACGATGTAAATAGTGTAAATAGTTACAAAACCTCATTTCAGAACTACAGACAGATCCTGAAGAAGACCGTCACGTACAGCGGTCGAAACGTCGCGAATATGACAATAAAGATGAGTTCAATAGTCCGAACAATGTAAATAGTGTAAATATGCAAAGTCTTAGAGACGAAAATGATCGTTACACCGGCTCATTCCTTTTTTCTGTTATGGCATCTGATCCCGACACCTAAACAGAAAGAATTAATCCTCAAAATTCTCAAAGATTTTATTCCACTCAAGAAATTTAATATTTTGTTTTTCATTTTATTTATTATTTTCACATTTTTTTTTGGTTTTTGTTTGAAAGATGCCAAACACATGACATGTCGGCATGATGCCGCCCTCGGCCTTTGATGGCGCCCTAGGCGACTTGTCAGAGTTGGCAGTACCTTGAGCCCGGCTCTGATAATAATGGTAATAATCATATTTTAATTCTTTCCTTCCTTCGTTCCGTAGTTTTTTTTTTAGTTAGCGAATACGTTATTCCCTAAAATTGATTTTTGGTTCCCTGTCTACAAATTTTCGACTCACGCATGGAAACACGCGCTGCCAATGTCTTCACTGGAAAATATGCAATTTTTACGGGAAGGAAACTAAAAGAAACTGGTATGAACACCACCCAGACCCGGTTCCAGAGATAGGAGCTGTAATAATTTTATGAGATTTTACAATATACACAGACAGAACAATCAAGGTTCATCGCCCAGACATCAGACATCGGTATCAAAGATCACAAGAACAGAATCTGCTTTCTTATTGATATGGCACTCTCGGCAGTTGGCAATGTATCTTTGAAGATCTTCAAAAAAAAACTATTAAAATACAAGGATCTTGAAGTGGAAATCGAAAAAATGTGGCACATGTGGACATCAATAAATCCAATTTTTCTTGGAGGTCTCGGATAAATTGGAAGAAAAGAAAGAAAGAAGAGAACGAAAGATAAGAAAGAAGAGAAAGAGAACGAAAGAAGAGAAAGAGAAAGAAAGAAGAGAAAGAAAGAAGAGAAAGAGAAAGGAAGAAGAGAAAGAAAGAAGAGAAAGGAAGAAGAGAAAGAGAAAGAAAGAAGGGAAAGAAAGAAGAGAAAGAGAACGAAAGAAGGAAAGAAAGAAGAGAAAGAGATCGAAAGAAGGGAAAGAGAAAGAAAGAAGAGAAAAAAAGAAAGCCGAAAGAAGAGAAAGAAAGAAGAGAAAGAGAACGAAAGAAGAGAAAGAAAGAAAGAGAAAAAGAAAGAAAAAGAGAAAGAAAGAAGATCAAAGAAAGAAGAAGAAAGAAGAGAAAGAAAAAGAAGAGAAAGAAAGAAGAGAAAGAAAGAAGAGAAAGAGAAAGAAAGAAAGAGAAAGAAAGAAAGAAAGAAAGAGGGAGAAAGAAAGAGAAAGAGAAAGAAAGAAGAGAAAGAGAAGAAACAAGGCTGGAAAGAGAAAGAAAAGAAAAAGAAAGAAAAGAAGAGAAAGAAAGAAGAAGAAAGAAAGAAGAGAAAGAGAAAGAAAGAAGAGAAAGAAAGAAGAGAAAGAGAAAGGAAGAAGAGAAAGAAAGAAGAGAAAGGAAGAAGAGAAAGAGAAAGAAAGAAGAGAAAGAAAGAAGAGAAAGAGAAAGAAAGAAGAGAAAGAAAGAAGAGAAAGAGAAAGAAAGAAGAGAAAGAAAGAAGAGAAAGAAAGAAGAGAAAGGAAGAAGAGAAAGAGAAAGAAAGAAGAGAACGAAAGAAGGGAAAGAGAAAGAAAGAAGAGAAAGAAAGAAGAGAAAAACAAAAGAAAGAAGAGAAAGAAAGAAGAGAAAGAGAAAGGAAGAAGAGATTTGAAAGAAGAGAAAGGAAGAAGAGAAAGAAAAGAAGAGAAAGAAAGAAGAGAAAGAAAGAAGAGAAGAGAAAGAAAGAAAGAAAAAAGAGAAAGAAAGAAGAGAAAAAAAGAAAGAAAGAAGAGAAAGAAAGAAAGAAAGAAAGAAAGAAAGAAAGAAGAGAAAGAAAGAAAACAAAGAGAAAGAAAGAAAGAAAAGAAAGAAGAGAAAGAGAAAGAAGAGAAAGAGAAAGAAATAAAAGAAAAGAAAGAAGAGAAAGAAAGAAAAAGAAAGAGAAAGAAGAGAAAAAGAAAGAAGAGAAAGAGAACGAAAGAAGAGAAAAGAAAAAACAAAGAAAGAAGAGAAAGAAGAGAAAGAGAAAGAAAGAAGAGGAAAGAACAAGAGAGAAAGAGAAAAAAAGAAGGGAAAGAAAGAAGAGAAAGACAAACAAAGAAGAGAAAGAAAGAAAGAAAGAGAAAGAAAGAAGAGAAAGAAAAGGAAAGAAGAGAAAGAAAAAGAGAACGAAAGAAGAGAAAGAAAGAAGAGAAAGAGGGAAGAAAGAAGAAGAGAAAGAAAGAAAGAAGAAAAAAAGAAGAGAAATAGAAAGAAAGAAAGAGAAAGAAAGAAGAGAAAGAGAAAAGAAAGAAGAGAAAAGAACGAAAGAAGAAGAAAGAAAGAAAGAGAAAGAAGAAAAGAAAAATAAGAGAAAGAGAAAGAAAGAAGAGAAAGAAAGAAGAGAAAGAGAACGAAAGAAGAGAAAAGAAAAAAAGAAAAAAAGAAGAGAAAGAGAACGAAAGAAAGAGAAAGAAAGAAAGAGAAAGAAAGAAGAGAAAAAAAAGAAGAGAAAACAAAGAAAGAAGAGAAAGAAGAAGAGAAAGAGAAAGGAAGTAGAGAAAGAAAAAGAGAAAGGAAGAAGAAAAAAAGAAAGAAGAGAAAAGAAGAAGAGAAAGAATGAAAGAAGAAAGAAAGAAAAAGAAAGAAAGAGAAAGAAGGAAAAGAAAAGAAAAGAAGAGAAAGAGAAAGAAAGAAGAGAAAGAAAAAGAGAAAGAGAAAGAAAGAAAGAAAGAATGAAGAAAGAAAAAGAAAAAGAAGAAAAGAAAGAAAGAGAAAGAAAAAAAAAGAAGAAAGAAAGAAGAGAAAAAAGAAGAAAGAGAAAGAAAGAAGAGAAAGAAAGAAGAGAAAGAGAAAGAAAGAAGAGAAAGAAAGAAGAGAAAGAGAACGAAAGAAGAGAAAGAAAGAAGAGAAAGAGAAAGAAAGAAGAGAAAGAAAGAAGAGAAAGAGAACGAAAGAAGAGAAAGAAAGAAGAGAAAGAGAAAGAAAAAGAGAAAGAGAACGAAAGAAGGGAAAGAGAAAGAAAGAAGAGAAAGAAAGAAGAGAAAGAGAAAGAAAGAAGAGAAAGAAAGAAGAGAAAGAAAACGAAAGAAGAGAAAAAGACAAAGAAAGAAGAGAAAGAAAAAGAAGAGAAAGAGAAAGGAAGAAGAAAGAAAGAAGAGAAAGGAAAGAGAAAGAGAAAAAAGAAGAGAAAGAAAAAGAGAAAGAGAATGAAAGAAGGGAAAGGAAAGAAAGAAGAGAAAGAAAGAAGAGAAAGAGAAAGAAAGAAGAGAAAGAAAGAAGAGAAAGAGAAAAGGAAGAAAGAGAAAGAAAGAAGAGAAAAGACAAAGAAAGAAGAGAAAGAAAGAAAGAGAAAGAGAAAAAAAGAAGAGGAAAGAAAGAAGAGAAAGAGAAAGAAAGAAGAGAAAGAAAGAAGAAAGGAAACAAGAGAAAGAGAAAAGAAGAAAAGAAAGAAGAGAAAGAGAACGAAAGAAGGGAAAGAGAAAGAAAAGAAAAGAAAGAAAAAGAGAAAGAGAAAGAAAGAAGAGAACGAAAGAAGGGAAGAGAAAGAAAGAAGAGAAAGAAAGAAGAGAAAGAGAAAGAAAGAAGAGAAAGAAAGAAGAGAAAGAGAAAGGAAGAAGAGAAAGAAAGAAAGGAAGAAGAGAAAGAAAAAGAAGAGAAAGAGAAAGAAAGAAGAAAGAAAGAAGAGAAAAGAAAGAAGAGAAAGAAAAGAAAGAAGAGAAGAGAAAGAAAGGAAGAGAAAGAAAGAAGAGAAAGAAAGAAAGAAAAACAAAAAAGAGAAAGGAAGAAGAGATTGAAAGAAGAGAAAGGAAGAAGAGAAAGAGAAAGAAAGAAGAGAAAGAAAGAAGAGAAAGAGAACGAAAGAAGGGAAAGAGAAAGAAAGAAGAGAAAGAAAGAAGAGCAAGAGAAAGAAAGAAGAGAAAGAAAGAAGAGAAAGAGAAAGAAAGAAGAGAAAGAAAGAAGAGAAAGAAAGAAGAGAAAGGAAGAAGAGAAAGAGAAAGAAAGAAGAGAAAGAGAAAGAAAGAAGAGAAAGAGAACGAAATAAGAGAAAGAGAGAAGAGAAAGAGAAAGAAGAGAAAGAGAAAGAAAGAAGAGAAAGAGAACGAAAGAAGAGAAAGAAAGAAGAGAAAGAGAACGAAAGAAGAGAAAGAGAAAGAAAGAAGAGAAAGAAAGAAGAGAAAGAGAAAGGAAGAAGAGAAAGAAAGAAGAGAAAGAGAACGAAAAGAAGGAAAGAAATGGAAGAAGAGAAAGAGAAGAGAAAGAGAAAGGAAGAAGAGAAAGAAAGAAGAGAAAGAAAGAAAGAAAAGAAACGAAAGAAGAGAAAGAAAGAGAAAGAGAAAGACAGAAGAAAGAAAGAAGAGAAGAGAAAGGGAAGAAGAGAAAGAGAAAAAGAAGAGAAAGAGAACGAAAGAAGAGAAAAGAACGAAAGAAGAGAAAGAAAGAAGAGAAAGAGAAAGAAGAGAAAGAGAAAGAAAGAAGAGAAAGAGAACGAAAGAAGAGAAAGAAAGAAGAGAAAGAGAAAGAAAGAAGAGAAAGAAAGAAGAGAAAGAGAAAGAAAGAAGAGAAAGAAAGAAGAGAAAGACAAAGAAAGAAGAGAAAGAAAGAAGAGAAAGAGAAAGGAAGAAGAGAAAGAAAGAAGAGAAAGGAAGAAGAGAAAGAGAAAGAAAGAAGAGAAAGAAAGAAGAGAAAGAGAAAGGAAGAAGAGAAAGAAAGAAGAGAAAGGAAGAAGAGAAAGAGAAAAGAAAGAAAAGAAAAGAAAAAAGAGAAAGAAAAGAAAGAAAGAAAGAAGAGAAAGAGAAGAAAAAGAGAAAGAAAGAAAGAAAAAGAAAGAGAAAGAAAGAAGAGAATGAAGAAAGGAAGAAGAGAAAGAGAAAGAAAGAAGAGAAAGAAAGAAGAGAAAGAGAACGAAAGAAGAGAAAGAAAGAAAGAAGAGAAAGAGAACGAAAGAAGAGAAAGAAAGAAGAGAAAGAGAAAGAAAGAAGAGAAAGAAAGAAGAGAAAGAGAAAGAAAGAAGAGAAAGAGAACGAAAGAAGGGAAAGAGAAAGAAAGAAGAGAAAGAAAGAAGAGAAAGAGAACGAAAGAAGAGAAAGAAAGAAAGAAGAGAAAGAGAAAGAAAAAAGAGAAAGAGAACGAAAGATATATATATATATAATACCAATGATCCAGCTTATAATCGTCTGAAAAAACCTTAAAACAAACCAAGGGAAAAAAAAAAAAAAGGGTAAAAGAAAGAAAGAACTAAGAACATGTACTTCCGGCGGAAATAATCGTCTAGAATCAAAATTCAGAGTCCAAAGAAAAAACCTCCAACACGAGTAAAGTTAAAATAACTAAGCAAAGAGCTCAATACACTTAGTAGAGCAGACTAAGTAATGCTATTGAGCCAGACTAACCTACCTAGGTTTCACCTACGCGAATCATCAGGGTAAACTGATATATATATATATATATATGAAGAAAAATATACAGAAAAACAAACAAAAATCTTAATATGCAATTATGCTGTATTAAAGTTAATATAAAGTCAACGTCGGACGTTTCGGTCTATTTAAGACCATCTTCAGGACATATTCATTTAAACATAATTAACATTAGAACATATAAAAATTCAGCACGAAAAGACGATGGACATAAGAGCACAACTAATCCAAACAGATAACTGAAATTTTTATATAATATCAGCGTTCCGTTTAAATATGATCACGTCGTCGTCACGTGGGCGATGTTGTGAAAACGTATTCGAAGATGATTTCCAAATATTAAAATATTAAAAAAGTCGATTGAACTATTTTCTATAAACAGTTCAAGAAATCCCTTCCGTTGATATAGGAATACGCAGAGATCAATAGGTTCTTATATCTTCATACAAGCTTGAAGTCCTCCACGTTACAAAGCAAGTCAAAAATGATTTAAAAAACGATGGAACAATTTTAAAAAACAGTTCGATAATAAATCTTTTCCTTACTTGATCAATAGATTCTTATATTTTCGTACAAAGGATGAAGTCTTCCATGTTATAAAGTAAATTCAGTTTTGTATTTTTATTAGACATTAATGTAAGCAAAAATATAGATCCGGAAGAAAAATATACAGAAAACAAAAAAAAAATCTTAATATGCAAATTATACTGTATTAATGTTAATATAAAGTCAACGTCGGACGTTTCGGTCTATTTTAGACCATCTTCGTGACGACGACGTGATCATATTTAAACGGAACGCTGATCTTATATAAAAATTTCAGTTATCTGTTTGGATAAGCTGGGCTCTTATGTCCATCGTCTTTTCATGGTGAATTTTATATGTTCTAATGTTAATTATGTTTAAATGAAAATGTCCTGAAGATGGTCTAAAATAGACCGAAACGTCCGACGTCGACTTTATATTAACATTAATACAGCATAATTGCATATTAAGATTTTTGTTTGTTTTTTCTGTATATTTTTCTTCATACTATCGGATCTATATCCATATATTTGCTTACATATATATATATGTGTGTGTGTCTGTATTTCTTTAAGGTATAATACTAGGAATCCTTTTTTTCAATATATATATATATATATATATATATATATATATATATATATATACTCAGTAGTACAGGTCACATATTACGAAGAAATTTAGAAATGTAAATGTCAAATACGAAATAGTCCATTGTTTATGTTCTGGTAAACCCTCCTACATTAGAATGGACTCTTCCTCCTCTCATAAATACAAACTGCGAGACTCGGGAAAGTGAAGAGGACCAGTAGACTATTTATTACTAACACTATTGTTTTGTATTTATCTTCAATATACTTTTTTTCAACCTGCCTTCGTCTTCCGTGTCTTTCTGGTCCCTAAAACAGGCCACAACAATTTATGTGTTATTGAAGGCAAGAGGAACACAGAAAAAAGCACCTGACGAGCTTGGGTGAACTGATGGCGGAACAGGATGTTAAAAAAACAAAAAAAAAAAACAAACAAAACAAGCATTACCAAAAGCTGTAAGAAATAGGACGTCGTAGAGAGCCGTGATCGCGTACCTCTTAAAAGGACACGGAAGTTAGAAAAAAAAAAAAAGAAGTCCTTCTATTACCAGCAGGTAAGAATTTGGCGAATTGGCAAGTGAAATTGAACTCTGAGAATGCAACTGCAAACGAGATATAGGAAGCGTGCCGGGTGGGTACACATGTTCAAGGCTTGGCCTGATATACGTTTTCGATAAGACAAGTAGAGGATAAATCAAGCCGGTACTTAAAATGGGTTTCATTGAGATTTATCGAGAAATTGAAAGCGCAGCTTTTGAGCTCTTCAGCAAGGCTGTAATGAGAAACGGTTTTATGGAGAGGGGAGAAAAGTTATGAGGGGGGTAGGTGTAAAATAGAGTGGAAAAAAAAAAGAAGATTCCTAATGTGAAAGATAAAGAAAAATACGGTGAATTGGAGAGCGCCAACCTTATAAGTGGTCTTATCTCTTTTCTCTTGGATAACAGCGGCTACGCGACGTTGCATGAAGTCTACCAGTTCAAAGGCTCTCCATAAATAAACCTGTTTGTCGTGTCGTCTAGTCTTCGAATACACCGATTAGATCCCTTCCAAGGAGGATAAACAGCCTAAATATAGAACCATCTTAGAGTTGGAGAGTTATTGACTCAAATAAATTTAAATCTAACCAATGTTCCCATTGCATTACTCTAGTGGAGTAATGGATAGTGGCTTGGATTGAGGAATCGGAGAGCCGAGTTCGAATTCCAGTCGAATCCAATACATTCACTTATGTGTTAATACCCTTGGGAAAGGTATAAATCCTCTTCTCCTCCTCCCAACTGTGTGTAAATAGCAGAACATACCGGGTTCTATAGCCTTGGATGGCAACTAGTCTACCGCAGAAAGAAATGCGAGGAAAATCTACCTAGTCAGTTAGGTATATCTCGATACATGATCGCCTAAGCGTGTATCACGCATGTCAAAACAAACGTGCTAATACCCTTGGGAAAGGTATAAATCCTCTTCTCCAGCTATGGAAAAATAGCAGGAGAGACCGGGTCCTATAGCCTTGGATGGCAACTGGCCTACCGCAGAAAGAAATGGCAAACTCCTGCGGGAAAAAAAATCTGTCTTGTCAGTCATGTATCGAGAGATACATGATCGCCTAGGCGTATATCACCCATGGCACATAACTGACTGACGTGCTAATACCTTTGGGAAAGGTATGAATCCTTTTCTTCTTCCCCCCTCCCCCCAGCTATGAGTAAATAGAAGGACAGACCGGGTTCTATAGCCTTGGATAGCAACTGGTCTACCGCAGAATTAAATGGCAACCTACCTCGGGAAAAAATCTGCCTAATTCATGTATAGAAAGATACATGATCGCCTAAGCGTGTATCGCGCATGGCACATAACTGACTGACTAACGTGCTAATACCTTTGGGAAAGGTATGAATCGTCTTCTCCCCTCCCCAGCTGTGGGTAAATAGCAGGACAGGCCGGGTTCTATAGCCTTGGATGGCAACTGGTCTACCGCAGAAAGAAATGGCAACCTACTGTGGGGAAAAATCTGTTTCGTCAGTCATGTATCGAAAGATACATGATCGCCTAAGCGTGTATCACTCATGGCACATAACTGGCTGAGTGACGTGCTAATACTCTCGGGAAAGATATGAATCGTCTTCTTCTCCCCATCAGCTTAGGGTAAATAGCAGAACATACCGGGTTCTATAGCCTTGGATGGTAACTGGTCCTTTTCTTCTCCCCCCCCCCAGATGTGGGTAAATAGAACATACCGGGTTCTATAGCCTTGTTCCCTATTCAGGCGGGGACGTTAGAAGTATAGAGTCTACTTCAACTCTATACTTCTAACGTCCCCGCCTTAGCCTCTGAAATTTTGTTAACTAATTTTTTTTTCTTTCTCTGAATAGGAGTAGATAGGTTCGCCTATCACCCGGTTCACACTCCTTCGCGATCTTTTCAACTGGAGCAGAGCTTTATCCGTTGTTCCCTGTTTAGGTTTGCTTTTCTAGTTTCTTCTAAAGTCTGTTCATTCTCTTGTGTTTTCGCAGTCACTAAAATCTTGACCTCTTCAAGGCTAGGGTTAACAGCTATCTTTCCTGCATAGCCATATGGACATCACTTCTTGCACACTTTATTGCACTCATAGAACAACCCGCTGTAGCCCTATACCTTGAGTAGCACTTGAGCCGTGCATTACAGTGGCCTATGATAAGGTTTTAGCCATTTTTAAGTACAGTAATTTTGGCTTGTGTAATAACGTCTCGTCTTTTTTTTCAGACAATACCGTGTTAGTATCAAGCTACTCTCATTAATGAAGGGCAGTTGACTTATATTTTGCAATTTCGTGGAAGTAAGGAAATTGGTGAATTTCAACGACGGCAAATAACAGGATGGTATCAGTGTGGCAAGTCAAATTGAGAAATTGCTAGGTTTTTTCAAGGTTAATCATCAAATGGTTAATAATATTGTCAAGAAATTTAATGAAGAAGGCCATTGTCTTGTGGAACAACGTTCAGGAAGACCAAGCATCGTGTCTGAGCGAACGAAAGTGGCGTTGAATAGAGAAGTCATCAGAAACCGTCGTCAGAGCTTCAAAGATGTCGCCCACAGCATGGAAATGTCGCCATTTGCGGTGAGAAAGACTCTGAAAGAGCTAGGCTATCAAGGAAGTGTTGCAAGAAAGAAGCCATTGATTTCAGAGGTTAACAGGAACAGGCGTATGGACTGGGAGAGAGAATTCGAGAGCAAAGTTTATGAATTTTGGCAGTCTGTGATTTGGTCAGATGAAAGTAAATTCTGCCAATATTTGAATTCGAGATAGGTTTATGTTTGGAGAAATCAGAATGAGATTTGGAACACTGAATTTTTGCAGGTGATCGTGAAACATGGAATGATTGGAGCAATGGTGTGGGTCGCTGTCTGGTTTGGAGAGAAATCTGAGCTGATTTTTGTTGAATGGTCCAAAATACTGTCAAATATTAGAGAAAAGACTACTCCCACTATTTGAAACCAATCAGATTGACAAGAATGTCTACCTTTCTGAAGAAGATGGAACGTCATGCAATACGAGCAAAGTAGCAAAGGCCTGGAAGGAATCAAGTTACTGCGATGAGCAGCCCAGAGTCCTGACTTGAATCCAATACAAAATATTCGGGAGCACCTTCATCGAAAACTTCGAGAGCGTGCAACCAAAATCACGTCAGTGGCAACCCTTAAAGAAACATTGCTAAAGGAGTCGCAAAATATGGATCAGGCGATTGTTGATAACTTGATCGAATCCTGTCGAAGGGCGGAGTCTCGTCTCGGGAAACAGCTACCCGACCCTGTTTTACACGAGGTCTACGGAGATATTTTGGCCGAGCCTATGGGCTCGGATACCCCACATTAAATGCAACCTTGTGCCACATCTGACTGCGTGAGGCGGTTGGTAAATATCCTGCAGTCGGAGATTCATCAGCGGCTGTGCTTGTCACACTCTCTGGCTCCGGGCAGACAGGATCCGCAGACGAGGCTATGTCGAGAAGCAGCTACCCGACTATCCTACAGTCGGAGATTTGTCTCCAGCAGAGAGAATCCCAAGAAGAGTCTCTGTCGAAGAGCTGTCCCGTCTCGGGAAACAGGTACTCGACCCCAGTCATATATATATAATTTCAAACATTTTTATAGTGGATACTATACATACATACATACATATATATATATATATATATATATATATATATATATATATATATATATATATATATATATATATATATTTGAAATTTATATATATATATATATATATTTGAAATATATATATATATATATATATATATATATATGTTTGAATATATATATATATATATATATATATATATGTGTGTTTGAAATTTTATATATATATATATATATATATATATATAATTTCAAACATTTCTTATAGTGGATACTATATATATATATATATATATATATATATATATATAAAATTTTAAAACATTTTTGTAGTGGATACTAGTATTTGAAATAGACTCCTCATTTTTATATTTTGTTTTAAGCGGTACCACGTACTACGCCTATCACTCTTCAGAGATAAATAAAGAAAATATATTCCCCGACATCAATCGAACCTGCGTCCACCTTTGTAGGAGAAACCAGCACTTGATCCAGCATGCTTTACTACTCGGCTCCACATTTCAGCAACGCTCTATTTAGCCTTTAAAGAAAGCAAACTTCCTATACTTTTCTCGAAAAGCCCATGAATTTGGCCAGCTCACCATGTAACCAAACATGGTTAGTCTTGAAGGAACATAAAAACGCCCTTTGTAGCCACTAATTCTAGAATCTTCTCTGATTGCTTGCTTGGCTGGGGAGAGTGCGGGTTGGAATCAATCATTTGATTTTTTTTTTTTTTAGGAAAAGCAACTCAGTGTAAAGGAATCCGTTCCAGTCTTTTCGTAAACACAGTGCCACGGAGAAAATAGAAATGTCAACATTTGTCATGTCTTTGTAAATCAATGAAGAAAGTCTTTGATTGAAAACAGACGTGTCTAGTTTGGTCATATCTTTCTAGATTTCTGCAGATCAAAAATAAAATAAGTATTTTTTTTTATTGAAAACAGAAATATTTACTTTGGCCAAGTTTTTTGTAGATCAATAACAATTCTTTTTTTTTCCCTTTTTTTTTTAAACGCAACTGGGCACACGGCAATATAACGTCGAAACATAGGTTCTTGTAAGATTACCGGCGTTAAACAACGTCGAGGCTGGTCAGTACCTAGACGCGTGACCGCTTGTGAATACCAGGTGCTGCAAGCTTGGATGGGCGGATGGTATAGTGTTTTTTTTTACGGATATATCACATTGAAATGCCGGTTCTTGCATGATTACTGAATTTAAGCAACGTCGAGCCTAAACATTACCGAGATGGGTGACCGCTTGTGAATACCAGGTGCTGTAATCTTGAATGTACCGATGGTATAAAGTGAATACCTGGAATAGATTGGATGTGCGGTTAGTATACGATCGCCGAAGTTAAGTAACGTCCATTCTGGTCAGTACCAAGATGGGTAACCGCTTGTGAATACTTGGTGCTGTAGGCTTGGATGTGCGGTTAGTATAAAGGGTTTACGGCCATATCACGTTGAAACACCGTTTTCCATACGATCACCGAAGTTAAGCAACATCCATACTGGTCAGTACCTAGATGGGTGACTGCTTGTGCATACTTGGTGCTGTAAGATTGGCTGTGCAGTTAGTATAAAGGGCTTACGGTCATATCCCGTTGATACACCGTTTGCCATACAATCGCCGAAGGTAAGCAACGTCCATACTGGTCAATACTAAGACGGGTGTCCTCTTGGGAATATCAGGGGAGATATAAAGTGCAGACGGGCAAATCACGTTGAAACACCGGTTCTCTTTCGATCACCCAAGTTAAGCAACTTCGAGCCTGGTGAACTTGGGTGTGCGGGTGGTGTAATGGATAACAGCTTGGAACTGGAAATACGATAGCCGAGTTCGAATTCCAGTTGGGTTCGTTATATTCACTTACTGGTAAATACTCTTCTATCTATAGCTGATTACATGAGTAAAAATTTAAAAGCAATGTCAAATCGTTATCTTCTGTCGTTATCATTTCGTATTTTCTACTAGACTTTATGAATTTAAGCGCAGTACTAGAGTGGCGGGAAGGTCTCATCATTTTACAGTTGAAATGGCGAGATGTAAAATCAAGTTATATACTAACAGTTTCTTCTATTGCACTTCTCGCTTGTGGAACTCTTGCTTTCCAGCCGGGCTTGATCTTCAAAAATTTAAATGCAATGTCAATCGTTTCCATCTATCTCCTTAATCCTTGTTCTTCTATTGTCCATTTCCCTTAAGGGTACATTTTTCTTATATTCTCAAACGCCCAGTAATCCCTTACGTCTTAGTGGCTTTATTGCCTTACTTGGGGTGAAAAAAATCTCAAATATTTAGGTTAACCCTTAAACTTTAGTGGACATCAATTAACATTTAACTTTTGAAATGAATATTAGTCATTGAGTGAGTAGTATGGATTTTGATAGACTTACTGAGAAATGCGATGTTTTTCAAAAATCCCCCCCCCAAAAAAAAGTTCGGGAGGTACGCGTCGTACACACAATAAACACGCTTATGTCTCATTGCCGACTGAATAACACCACGAGATGTCAATGACAAAACCGAATCATTTGTTCCCCAAGTTGCGAGCAACGAGCCAATCACGTTCGGCTCAACTCGACTCAGCGCTGGAAACGATCATGAACTGTCACTTTCCTCTATAGACTGAATAACCACACAAGAGAGTGTGTGTTCTCGTATGCCTAGAAAGGTCCCCTCTGATTGATTACGAAGTTACATCAAGTTGGATTCTCGAGAGCTGTTTACGTTTCGGTCAAATAACAATGGACTTTTTTCCGTTTTGTTTCGTGTCTATCAAATTCGATTCCAAATCTACGAACAAAACCGAATCACCTATTCTCCAAGTTGCGAGCAACGAGCCAATCACGTTTGCCTCACCTCGACTCAGCGCTGGAAACGATCGTGAACTGGCTGTCAGATATGCAGCACTAAATCCGTCCGTTTCCTCTTGGCCAACGGGAAATGATGGCCAGCAAACGGATTCAAGGTTGAACTAGTGATTTATTGCGGGCCATTTGTGTGCGTGTGTCTGGACATTTGTGCGTCTCTGTGCTTTATATGACCGAGCAGGACTGCGTACATCTATGCGTCGTTGTCCGTTAATGTAGGTTCGTGTATTTATGCGCATGCCTGGAGAAAGCACCTAAGTGTATGTCAATCCGTCTTGATATCCCGCTTTGCCTTTGGGTGTGTGTCACTACGCTTGCATATATGTCTAACCGTAACAAATTACGCAGCACTTATTTTGATTAAGCGCGTTACTTAGAACAATTACTTCGCTACTTATTTCATAATTCATCTAAAACAGTAAATTGATTAGTGAGTTACTTATTTGAAAGATTTTTCAAAACAGGATGAAAGTAGATTGAAAGCGTTAAAACGAATGTCATAAACTTGAAATGATGCAAATGCATTATTTGTTTTAATCATTTTACTTCAAACAAGGCAATAAAGCCACTAAGACGCAAGGGATTTCAGCGTGTAAGAATACAAGAAATGGAGAAACATTATTAAGGATCGAGAACAATAAATTAAGGAATTAAGAAGACAGAAGATAACGATTGACATTGTATTTAAATTTTGAAGATGAAGCTTGATTGGAAAGCAAGAATCTGGAAGAGGGTTCACAAGCAGAAAAGAGAGAAGAAACTGTTAGGATAGAACTTTTGGAATTATCCCACTAATCAAAATTGGTATATATATATATATATATATATATATATATATATATATATATATATATATATATATATATATATATATATATATATATATATATATATATATATATATATATATATATATATATATATATATAAAATAAAATATTTATATATTATTTTATAGTTATTTTATACAAATATTTAAGTAAATACTCTGTTTATAATAAACTTCTACGTTTACCGGAATGAATAGAAAATATATGCCCCCGATAAGAATCGAACCTGTATCCTACACGCAACCGTCATTTAGCCTGACGTGATATGCGACTTAACTACAGAGGAAACGTCTGGTTAGCAAAGTCACATTACTGCTTTTAAACTTCAAATTTCTCACGATTTTTTCTCGAACGCTCATATCTGCTTGAAGAATATCTTAACGTAAACAAATGACAACATATATTATGAAATAGACTAAAATAACATATGAACAGAATATATATTAAAATAATTGTCGGACTTAGTCCATTTCATGTCGGACTTAGTCCATTTCCAGTTAGTCGTCCAGAAAATTTCTGAGCGACTGCTCGGTTCAACTCTCTTCCTACGGGCGGGAGGAACCCGAAGGAGGCTACGCCGAAGCCTGGTGGCTCGGGAATGCCCACGTTAAAAAGGCCTTGTGCCGCATGACGCCCTCGTGGGGGGGTGACTAAATATCTTAGTCCATTTCACTTGACGAGTGATGATAACTTGATCGATTGTTCTTGGTGGTCAGGCGCACGCTCGGATCTCAGTCGTCCTTAATCTATAGTTTGTGGTGCCACAGATTCTCTCCCGACAACGCGACGATAAACAGTAGCATGGGTTGGAGGACTCGGCTGCTTTCGGTCTGGATACGCAATCTGATACAGCCGTGCAGCTTCGCGGCCGTTACCATTCGCACGACTGCTCACGATATGAATATCCTGCTATTGTTAAACAAAACAATTCTCAGTTAACTTACTACTAAACACGTTAAATTTTGACGACAGCCTAGCCATAAAGGTACACGAATAACAAATGTAACCGAGACTACATTTCAACACGACGCCATCACAGTAATCTTAGGATTTGCAGACATATGTTTATATGTACTTTTCTTTGGTTTGGAGTGAGGAACCCGTCCTAAAGTTTGTAAAAAGAATATCTGATACACCCTTTTATATATATATATATATATATATATATATATATATATATATATATATATATATATATATATAAAGTAGTTGGTAAATTAGAGTGAGTGCCTTTTTCGAAGATTACATTTGGTCTGAGTATACCTAAGTCATTCACCCTCAAAGGTGTTACATCACACTGTCTAATAGAGTGTCTCATATATATATATATATATATATATATATGTGTGTGTGTGTGTGTGTGTGTGTGTGTACAGAGTGGAGGCACTTTATTACAGGGAGGAAATGGTGCAAAGCCTTTGAGTGGGAATAACTTAGCTATGCTCAAACCAAGCGTGATCTTCGAAAAGGCAGTCATTCGAGTATGCCAACTAACATGCAGCCTTGTAAATGTGGTGTGTGTGTGCGCATATTGTTGTCGAGGGAAGGTTAGGCAATCCATTTGAAAGGTTCAACATAACAATCAGGAGCACGCCAACTATGCCAACCTGCCCACCTCGTCCGGACGACAATGCCACCTTATTAGGCACATGGTAGTGCACAGAAGATTTGTAGGTCATGCAGATCGAATCAAGCCAGTCAAGGATACAGAGCTTATCCGTCGTATATGCTTGATACCTATAAAATCGAGTGCTGGTCTCAAGAGTCTTCTTAGGGTCCATGGACACAGATAAGAGATGATAGCCATCAGAAGTGATACGAGTGGTGAAAGGCTGTTTTAAAGATATTGGGAAAATAAAGGATGCTGTGACAAAGGTCCTGGACACATTCCCTTTGAATGACTTCCAAGGGGTCTTAACAGATTAGGTGGAGTGCATAGCACTTTAAAAGATATTAAAGTTTTGTAGTTTGAAATTAATAAATATCTCACACGTTGCACCTCGTATATGCATTTGTCGCGTTTTTTACTCCTGAGTGTCCTATAAACACATTGGCAAATGATTGTTGAGGCTATAGGTCACCTTTTGTTCGTATCCATACCTGAGTAATATATATATATATATATATATATATATATATATATATATATGTGTAAAAATTGCTGGTTGTTCGTTTCTGAGTTTACTCGGACGGTTAGCGGGTTAGTCAGTCCCTGTTACGGACGGATGCACTTGTGATGTATGCACATTTTTTTTTTATAGTTTCTGGAAGATAGAACATCCTACGGCGAAGTCAAAAGTTTGATCAAGGCTGGCACGTTCAAACCTTGGATTATGATGGCTTCGTGACGGCGCGGCCCCAGACTAAAAATTTCGTCCACTCAATTTCATACAGTAGGCTTGGCTTAAGATATTAAAGTTTTATAGTTTGAAATTAATAAATATTTCCCACGTTGCACCACGTTGTCGCGTTTTTATTTGACTCCATGGAACCACATTGGATGTTTATACTTAAGGCTACAGGTCACTGCTTGTTCGTATTCATACTTGAGCATATATATATATATATTTAAAAGCTCAACACAACCATAAAAAATGAAACATCACCCCTTATGAAGTCGTAAAAAAACAAACAAACAAATGTTAGCTAGTTATGACAGTTTTATATACACAAAACGCTTTCAGGAAAGAATATAAAATAAAATAAAAATAAAAAATAAATAAATCTCAATAGACACTTAACGGTTCCAGACTAGACGATGTCATATTCCGTTTTGAATTCAGTGTTAAAAACCCTACCTGACTTGCCCCTTTGAATGTAAGGGAGATATTGATACAAATTATTAACCCTTACCCCCTCATTTAAATAATTTTTCTAGCCGTTACGATAGTAATTTTAATTTTAATAATGAATATATTTAAAAAACGCGTAAATTTCAAGAGTGTTATTCCCAAAAAATTTCGCTTGAAGATGGAACAGAGATTTCTACTTTTAAATCAATTTAATTCAAATAATTATATTGAAGTTTTCGGCTCTTTGTTTTGAAACATGAGAACTCTTATGTAGCGATGGAATCATATTTTTAAACAATTACACACACACACACACACACACACACACACACACACATATATATATATATATAGATAGATAGATAGATAGATAGATAGATAGATAGATAGAGAACAGAATGAGATAGATAGAATGATAGATAGATAGATAATGAACAGAATGAAACACATAAACGTTTTTGTTTGTAATGTGGATTGTTTTAAAAATATATTTCATGCTTTATTTTTCCATAATTTTTCTGATGGACGTTGCTGCCTGAGGTGAGCAAATAATTCCTCCGAGTTTTGGGCCAGGCTTGGCCACGCTTGGGCAGGGGGGACTGAATCCCCGTGATCAAGTAACAAACTAAAAACCAAAAGCCAAACCAAAAAACATTTGCGGTTTCTCTCTTCTTTTAATATATACACTTTTCTCTCGTTGAAATATATGGCTATATATATATATATATATATATATATATATATATATATATATTATTATTATTTTAGTTAGTGTTTTATTTATTTTTATTCAAATTTTTTTATCCGTGTTTTTTGAAATGAAATTGAAAGGAAATTATAAACAGACTATTTATTTTTTATGGTCAACCATCTACCCCCAAAGGAGGCCCCAAACATTATCATTAGTTTCCGCCATTGTCCATGAGATGATTTATTTATTTTCAAAAGTGAGCGTCTTATATGCATGCCGTGTTCATCGTTTCTAGTGATTCAAACATGTAAACAAAACAATGACGACATTGATCATCACTTTGTTGTATTTGTTTGATATGTTTGTATTTAAACTTTGATAATACTTGAGTAAGCCGGAAATTTTAGATTTTATTAAAAAAAAATGCATAAATATTGTGAATTTCTTTTTTCGTTCAACGAAAATGTTAATAAACTTATCAGTGGTACGAAAATTGGTTTTAAATAAACAACAGACAAATTTGGTTCTATATTATTATTTAAAAAAACGTGTATAAATATATATAATATATATATATATATATATATATATATATATATATATATATATTGCTCATTTTTATTGCATCTCTGGATAAATATTGATCGCAAATAGCTGAGTACATATCCCACTTCACAGTAGATCTCCTTTGGCTGTACCTCTGCAGGCCCTGACAGCAATTCTAAACTATTCCAAGTAAATCTTGCCGAAGGGAGACGGGCTTAGCAATGTAGTTTCATTGAGTATTACGACAGTTGGGCATTCAATGCTTCGCGGCAGTGGTTATCAGTCGATTCATCTTTGGGGAAATTGTCCAACATTCGCTGCGCTAAAGAAGGACAAATATCACGTAACAGTTCAGTATTCTTTTCTTTGTTACCAAATATATCCTCCTGTCTTGCACTACTTTCCCCAACTTTGTAGTTTGAAATTAATAAATAACTCCCACGTTGCACCTCGTATATGCATTTCTCGTGTTTTTATTTGACTCTATAGAACCACATTGACTATTTATACTTGAGGCTATAGGTCAAGTTTGTTCGTATTCATATTTGAGTTACTCTCTCTCTCTCTCCCTCCCTCTCCCTCTCTCTCTCTCTATATATATATATATATAGTCAAACCTAGACAGCCAGACAAACTCAGTAACTACAGGAATCAGTTAAGCGGGATCGTCATAATAAACATTCCCTGACGATCCGCATAAATATAATAATCATTATCTGTAGGTGTGACTAGGTCTGCTCTATTTTGTATTGAGCACTTTTTTAGTTGATTACTCGTATCGGTTTTTTTTTTTGGGCTTTGGATTTGGAATATGCTTTTACGATTATTTTCGACAGACGTTCATGTTCATAATTCTTTCTTCGACAAAACCTTTTTTACTTCGAAATTGATTTGATCGTTAGAAAATCGAGAAACCAAGGGTTTTCCGATCTGAGTGTAGTTACCTATATATGTATATGTAGTTACCTATATATATATATATATATTGTCGTCAGGGCAATTCTCAACTATTCAGAGGAAATCTTGCCGAATAGCGATGTGCTTAGCAACGTAGTTACATTGAGTATTCAATGCTTCGCGGCAGTGATTATCAGTCGAAGGACAAATATCATGTAACAGTTCAGTATTCTTTTCTTTGTTACCAAAGATATCCTCCTGTCTTGCACTACTTTCCCCAACTTTGTAGTTTGAAATTAATAAATAACTCCCACGTTGCACCTCGTATATGCATTTCTCGTGTTTTTATTTGACTCCATAGAACCACATTGACTTGTTTATACTTGAGGCTATAGTTTGTTCGTATTCATACTTCAATCTCTCTCTCTCTCTCTCTCTCTATATATATATATATATATATATATATATATATATATATATATATATATATATATATATATATATATATATGTATATATATATTTTTATTGCATTTCCAATAAGCTGACTCCATATTCTACTTCGCAGTAGATCTCCCCGTTGGGTATATCATTGTCGTCAGGGCAATTCTCAGCTATTCCAAGGAAATCTTGCTGAATAGCGATGTGCTTAGCAACGTAGTTACATTGAGTATTCAATGCTTGGCGGCAGTGGTTATCAGTCGATTCAACTATATGTTAGCAAACATCAAATTAAATATCTCTCCCCTGCCGACCCTCCAAATATTGATGGGACTGACGGAAAGCGGTTCTGTGCCTGCGTGTGGTGTCTCACGAAGGGAGATTAATTCCGGCTTTAGCGGAGGACGGACCAGATTGAACGTGACGTGACGTACGTGCGGTGGGCACACGTGCCGGAGCGGGTGCGAATTCCCTGCCGCCCTCGCCCTGGCCCCGGCAACACCGGCGAGTTGGATAACGCGGAAGTCATGAAGATGAGCTTCTGCACCCGACGACCAGCTTGGGTATCTTCCGTGTTTAAATCTTCCTTCTTGCCGCTGATAAACCTGAGGTTTATTTTTTGTTTTGTTTTTGTTGTTGCTTTCGTTTATGATTTTTTTTTTCTGTCGATTTATTTTCCTTTTTTCATCCTTCATTCGAAATTTCTCCCCCCACCTTCAGCACATCGAAATAATAATAATAATAATCATAATAATTGTTCATCTTGTTTTTGTTCTTGACCTTGTTGTTGAGCTTCTTCTCTTGAAGATAGCTTCTTCTTCTTCTTCTTCTTCTTCTTCTTCTTCTTCTCTTGAAGATAGCTTCTTCTTCTTCTTCTTCTCTTGAAGATAGCTTCTTCTTCTACCTCTTCTCCTCTTGAAGATAGCTTCTTCTTCTTTTCCTTCTTCATCTTTTTCTACTGTTGAAGATAGCTACTTCTTCCTCTTCTCTTGAAGATAGCTTCCTCTTCTTCTTCTTCTTCTTTTCTTGAAGATAGCTTCTTCTTCTTCTTTTCCTCCTTCTTCTTTTCCTTCTTCTTCTTCCCTTGAAGATAGCTACTTCTTCTTCTTATCTTGAAGATAGCTTCCCCTTCTTCTTTTTTTCTTCTTCTTCTTCTTCTTCTTTTCTTGAAGATAGCTTCTTCTTCTTCTTCTTCGTCTTCTCTTGAAGATAGCTTCTTCTTCTTTTTCTTATTATTCTTCTTTTCTTGAAGATAGCTTCTTCTTGTTGTTTTCCTTCTTCTTCTTCTCTTGTAGATAGCTTCTTCTTCTTCTCTTGAAGATAGCTTCTTCTTCTTTTTCTTCTTCTTCTTCTTTTCTTGAAGATTGCTTCTTCTTCTTTTTTTCGTTCTTATTCTTCTTTTCCTTCTTCTTCTTCTTCTCTGGAAGATAGCTTCCTTTTCTTCTACTCTTGAATAAAACCTTTCTCCTCTTCTTCTTCTCTTGAGCATAGCTTCCTCTTCATCTTCTTCTCTTGAAGATAGCTTCCTCTTGTTCTTGTTTTTCTTCGCTAACTTCTTGTTTTTCTTCTCTTGAAAATAGCTTCCTCTTCTTTTCTTCTTCTCTTGAACATAGCTTCCTCTTTTTATTATTCTTCTTTTCTTGTAGATAGCTTCTTCTTCATCATCATTTTCTTCTTCTCTTGAAGATATCTTCTTTTTTTTCTTCTTCTTCTTCTTCTTGTGAAGTTACCTTCTTTTTCTTCTTTTTTTCTTCTTCTTCTTCTTGTGAAGTTACTTTCTTCTTTTTCTTCTTCTTTTTCTTCTTCTTTTTCTTCTTCTTCTTGCGTGGTTACATTCTTCTTTTTCTTCTTCTTCTTGTTGTGAAGTTACCTTCTGCTTTTTCTTCTTCTTCTTCTTCTTCTTCTTCTTCTTCTTCCTTTCTTAGCTTCCCTTTTAACTTGATTAATTCTTTTAAAAAAACATCTTTTCCTTTCTTTCTGCTTTTAATAACTTATTCCCTTCTCTTTTTTTTTAAAAAAAGCAATCATTTTCTACGTAAAGAATGAATCTTTTTCTTTCCTTTGAAATTTTTCAACTTCTTTTTCCTTGATTTGTAACCTTTTCTTTCATTTTTTTTTTTAAAAAAGACCCAATTTTCTTTTATTTAGATTTATGTTTTTCTCCTTTTAAAGACTAATTTTTCTTTCTTAAACCAGTCATTTTTTTTTCTTATGTACACATTTCTTTTTCTTTATCATTCTTCGTCTTTTCCCCATAAACATCAATTTTTATCTTTTTATTGAAGAGAAAACCTTTTTTTTTTTTTTTTTTTTTTTTAAATATTCCATTTTGAGTCCTAAGGATCTATACTTTCTTTTAGAAACTTCGTTTTAAATATCTTTTTTATTTTATTTTGACATTCTATAAGAACATTCACTTTTCTTCTTCTTTTAAAACCATCACAATATTCTTTCCCTAAAAAAAACAAAAAAAAAACTCTCCCCCGAGAGTCCAATTTATTTCTTATCGAGCATCCAATGCATCCGCCTCCAGCAATTTTAACGCCTTTTGCAACATAACGCACGTGTGACGTTAAAGTCTGGGCGGTATTATTCACTGACGGGGGAGTAGAAATGGAAACTGGAATTTGCAGAATATTGCATAGCCTTCCGGTAGGGTCACGTAGCATGCAAATAAAGACGAAGGAGAGGAACGCAGATGGATATAATTTTGTTGGAACAAGCAAAAAGTAAATAAAAGTATTTGACAGAATCAAATAAAATAAAACGAAAACGTGTAATGCTAGTAAAAAAATTAACAAGAAGACCAAAATTTCACCATCTCTAAAAAAATAGATGTACATTCAGAATCGCCAGACCACAAAATCATATTTCGACCAACCAATCAGAAACACATTCTTCTCGTCCTATCTCTGGCCTGATTCTGCTGCGCGCTCTATCCAACAGAATACGGATGATGAGTTTTGTTACGTGGCTCATTAGACTTATTGTTCGGTCTATTTCTTTGCTAACAAAGAAATTAGTACTAAGCCGCTACGTGACATCTGTCCTCCTTTACGGCAGCGAATATTGGATGCTATCCTTAAAGATGAAGAAGAGTCTCGAGGCGGCGGAGGTATTGTTCTACAGAAGGATGCTAAGGATATCATGGTCCGAGCGTGTGAGCAACGATGAGGTTTTGGAGAGGATGCAAACAAAGGGGAAGCTTAGACTTAACATCAAAAAGAGGCAGTTGGAATTTCTGGAACACGTAATGAGAAAGACCGGCTTGGAGAATCTGATGCTCACAGGTCGAACAGAAGGAAAGGGAGACAAGGGAAAGCAAGGATTGATGCTACAGCTGTGAAATATTGGATGCATTCATTTGAACTCTTCTTATTAATAACTGCATTTTTTATTTCCAGTTAAACTGACATCTGACTGTTCAAAGGAGGCTGCTCATTCTGTTGGTCCAAAAAATTATCAACATCAGATATTACATTATCATCACTGTGATACGGGTTTTCATCTTAGTGTTTGTTTTATGTTGGGGAACAGATGATAGTCAGGTGGAGCCAAATCAGGAGAATAGCAAAGGTAATCAACCTGTTCAAGACCACAGTCACGCAGCTGTTAGAACCAAGACTCCTTTCGCCAGTTTTCCTGGGCGTTTGATCTTTGATAGACTTTCGCATCTGCTTCAGAAAGTTGGCATAGTACTCTCCATTGATGGTGTGGCCCTTTTGAAGATAGTCAATAAGCACAATACCTTTTGCATCAACGAAAAGAAGAGATAGATAAGATCAGAATGATATATGTGTGTGTGTGTTCTCGCTCGCGCGTGCGTACGTACGTACGTGTGTGTAGGGGGTGAACGGAGAGAAATAGATAGATATAAATCGGGTGAGATAGATAAACATGAGCAGGGTGAAATACAGAGATATATTGATATGAGCAGAGATAGAGAGATCGATAGATATGAGCTGAGTGAGATAGACATATAGATACATGTGAGAAGAGATAGAGATAATGGATCGAGTGAGATAGATATGAGCAGAGGGAAATATATATATATATATATATATATATATATATATATAGATAGATAGATAGATAGATATGAATCGAGTGAGATAGACAGATAGGTGTGAGCAGTGAAATAGAGATATATAGATATGAGCCGAGTGAGTTAGACACATAGATACGCGTGAGATAGATAGATAGATAGATAGATAGATAGATAGATAGATAGATAGATATGAATGGATTGAAATAGATATAAGGCGAGTGAGATAGATAGATATGTGTGAGTATAGATAGATAGATAGATAGATAGATAGATAGATAGATAGATAGATAGATATGAATCGAGGGAGGGACATAGATAGATAGATAGATAGATAGATAGATAGATAGATATGAATCAAGTGAGTTAGATAGATAGATAGATAGATAGATAGATAGATAGATATGAATCGAGGGAGGGACATAGATAGATAGATAGATAGATAGATAGATATGAATCAAGTGAGTTAGATAGATAGATAGATAGATAGATATGAATCGAGGGAGGGACATAGATAGATAGATAGATAGATAGATAGATAGATAGATAGATAGATAGATATGAATCAAGTGAGTTAGTTAGATAGATAGATAGATAGATAGATAGATAGATAGATATGAATCGAGGGAGGGACATAGATAGATAGATAGATAGATAGATAGATAGATAGATAGATAGATATGAATCAAGTGAGATAGATAGATAGATAGATATGAATCGATTGAAATGATATGAGGCGAGTGAGATAGATATATAGATATGTGTGAGTAGAGATAGATAGATAGATAGATAGATAGATAGATAGATAGATAGATAGATAGATATGAATCGAGGGAGGGACATAGATAGATAGATAGATAGATAGATATGAATCAAGTGAGATAGATAGATATGAATCGATTGAAATGATATGAGGCGAGTGAGATAGATATATAGATATGTGTGAGTAGAGATAGATAGATAGATAGATAGATAGATAGATAGATAGATATGAATCAAGTGAGTTAGATAGGTATGAGCTGAGGGAAATAGATATATAGGTATGAACACACACATATATAGATAGATTCAGAATGTAGAACAAAAAATCTGAGAGAGAGATAGATAGAGAGTGAGGGAGAGAGAGAGAGTGAGGGAGAGAGAGAGAGACGGGTAGGACTGTGATGAATGTAAAGAGATGTAACCATTGGCTAGAAATATTTCCATATAGATTTCCGTTCAGCATAGAAAGACATGTCCGGGTCAATCTATTGATGGGCAGGTGGTTGGACGCCCAAGGAAAAGTTGATAGCTTGGCAACTAAAATATATTTGCACATGAAGAAGACACTAAGGGCATTGCTTTGACAGGCACCCATACGAACTGAATGCGCTTACATATTCTTTCACATTGGCCTTTATCATTAAACCACCCTACCGCACAGAAAACTCGAACGCCCCTAACTGATGGAAGCTTGTAAGCGGCCGAGAAAGTGAATAAATTATAAAAGAAAGAGAAAAGAAAAAAAAAAAAACAAAAAAAACCTTGCAACTCCGTAAACCTCTTTCTCTGTAGAAAGGACGTCGGGATGTAAGTTGCGCAAAAAATGCCATTAAGGTCATTTCTTTTGATCTCATTGCAGGAATTTTTTATTTTTTGATTTCTGTTGAAAATACTTCATGATGTTAGCGTTAAATCTAGATATCTTTCTATAAAAGCTATCGAGTCAACATGAAAGGTGTTACTCAAACGTCAGCTTCTTTATATCAGTTTATCAAAATTTTTTTTAATCATTTCAACCCCAAGCAAGGCAGTAAAGCCACTAAGACAGCACATATCGGCTTTTGCTAATAATACTTAAAAAAATAAAATATCACATTCAAAATATTTTTGGATGTTGAAAGATGAGAATAAAATTCTTAAATTGAAATGGAATTTTTTTTTTATAAATGGCAAGGACACGTAGATGCTTATATGAACCGTGTTTTCCGTGTTTACAGTAAAGAATGCACATTATCAGGTTCTTTGATAGGGATGCTTCATTAAATCAAAGGTTTGAATTAACGGTTAATTGTAGACATACCCTACCATTGACACTACAATCTTGCTAAGCTTTGAAATTTGGCAATTGTTTCTTATAGAATTTAGTTTTACCTTGTTGCACCATACAAAGATTAACTTTCTGTCAGTAAGATCAATTTCGATATAGATTAATTTTTACATTAATCTTCTAGTAGTGTTGGTAATATTTACTACAGATGTATTGGCGTTCGGCTGACATTTTGATATTTTGCATTGATTAGTTTATATATATATATATATATATATATATATATATAAAAGAAAAAACAGACCACTTTAAGGTATCATTATAATAATTTATTTCACCAGATCCCTTTTAAAGGACTCTGGATTATTAGATAGCACTTCCAAAAGATGAAACGAAACGAAATGAAATAAAATTCATACTTTTGATGGGTAGTGTAAGTTTCTGTGATTTAACAGAGGGGGTAATAAGAGGTGGTTTGAGGGACATGGTCGAGTTTAGAGAAGGTTTATTTAAGATTTCTTTCAATCATACTTAGTATTGGGGGAGGAGCATATCTCCCCCACCTCGTCTTTCCCTCCATCTTATTCTAACATTAGATTGTCTATGGTGTGTGTATGTCACCACGAAATGTATCTTTATGCATTAGACATCCGACAACATTCATTTTTCTCTTACTTAAACCCCTTCCACCCACCTCTCCTAAAAGTCTCTCTGTAAAGGTTTAATCTCCCCCCTCCTCCTACTTACACTCTCTCTAAATTCTGTTTTTATTTCCGAAGTTGTTTTTTCTGTTTTCTTTTTGAATTTGTAGGTCTGATGAATTTGATCGTATTTACGATTCCAATGGAATAAATTATGACCATGGAATATTAGTGTTTAAGCCTTTTTATTATATCCTTACTCTGTCCTGGACATTGGGTTCCACCTGGATTCTTCCTTTGGAATTTTTATTCAAAAAATATACATGTATGGGTATTTATATATTTTGCATATGTATGTATATTTACCACTAATATTATCAATATCTATCTATCTATCTATCTATCTATCTATATATATATATATATATATATATATATAGATACACCTAGTGAGCCAGACAAACCTACCTAGGTTTCACGTAAACGGATCGTCAGGGAAAGTTTGGCTAACGAGGCAAAAAAAAACATATTTATAGGTGATAGCTAAAAATCATACCACGTGACAAAATAAAAAAACAAAACAACCTAAATGGGGAATTTATTAAAAAAAAAAAAACCTCAGTGGAAAGTCATTAATGGGAAAACGTCTAATTTAGTAGCCAAGATTTTTATGTCTACATACATTGAGAATTTCAGTTTTAGAGTTTAATAGTTGGTTGGGTTGATCATATAAAGCTATGGCTAATTTCTCCTCAGTACATAATTTGCAAAATTTATGGCCTGCTTTATATTTTGGGCATTTTTTAATATTTCCATTTAAGGATGGGGTCTATATTATCTTGTTTGGTTTTCCATACGTAGGTAGATAGCGTGGTACTATGTTTTTTTTTTGCATTCTTAAAACTACTCATTATTGGTTATAATATCTTTTTTAAATTTATCCTGAGTAGCACCTATGTATGTTTTAGGGTTAGTATCCTCAGTATTTTTGTAAATTTTCACTTCATACACCACGCATTGAGGAGAAATTAGCCATAGCTTTATATGATCAACCCAACCAACTGTTAAACTCTAAAACTGAAATTCTCAATGTATGTAGACATAAAAAATCTTGGCTACTAAATTAGACGTTTTCCCGTTAATGACTTTCCACTGAGGTTGTTTTTTTTTTTTTTTTTGTTGAATAAATTTCCTCCCCCCCACCCATTTAGGTTGTTTTGTTTTTTTATTTTGTCACGTTGTATGATTTTTAGCTATCACCTATAAATATGTGTGTTTCTCTTTGCCTCGTTAGCCAAACTTTCCCTGACGATCCGTTTAGGTGAAACCTAGGTAGGTTTGTCTGGCTCACTAGGTGTATCTAGGTCTGCTCTACGGTTGTATTGAGCTCTTTTTTTGTTAGTTGTTACTCGTATCGGGGTTTTTCTTTGGGCTTCAGACCTGCATCTGCGCGATTTTTTTTTGTCGGCAGAAGTCCATGTTTGTAGCTCTTTCTTTTTTAAAACCTTTTTTCCTCGAGATTGATTTGATTAGCAAATCAAAATTCGAGGGTTTTAAAACGAGTCTAGTTTTCTATATTTATATATATATATATATATATATATATATATATATATATATATATATATTGAACCTAAAGAACTAGTTAACAGTTGCATTTTTATTTTATTTCGTTTCATCTATACGCTTAAATATTTCTATTAGGTATATATTTTTAAATACTTTTGTCTGGTCTGTATGTTTAAATATTTTCATTAGATATATATTCTTAAAAATTTCGTTTGATCTATATGTTAAAATATTTTCATTACATATATATTTTTAAATAATTTTTTTTAGATCTATATGTTTTAATAATTCTTAATGTTTAATAACTTGTTAGATGTATATGTTTAAACTTTTCATCTGTTTCTTAAAGGGCTTGTTTATTTAACAACAATAAAAATAAGATTTTTTTTAACACACAGGGAATGTAGTTTGTCGAGTATCTTGTTAAATGACCCTTCTTCTTTCCTAGGGAATGACATCGTCAAGTGTATAACATTGTAGCCATTTACATCCGACTAGCATATGACGTCTCGAGGCCGAATACGATCCTAAATCTCTAGGTCATGACCTCTGACATATGATTGCTTCTTAACTTTCGTTTTGCCCCCTACTTTGAACTTAACGCAAGTAATTCCGATTGGTTGATCTGAATAAAACAAAACAAACCCTGCAACCATCTGTTCTTTTTTTCTTTCTTACTCAGTATTCTTTCTCTTCTTTTTCTCTTGAGAAGAGCGTGTATCTTGTGCCTTTCTTTATTACTCTTTTTCTTTTCTTCCTTTTCACGTGAAAAGAGGGTGTATCCCGTTTTCAAATCCGAATAAATTGTCTACTCACCAGTTATTTACTAACGCCTGATGAGATGTCTTAATACACATCGAAACATGATTGCATTTGTGTAGCGTTTTTTTTTACATGTTTTTGATACAATATCCTAAAAAGTATATATATATATATATATATATATATATATATATATATATATATATAAGTTTCGCTTGATTTTTTATTTATACTAAAATCAATTTAAGGTTTTTCAATTAATTTTATGGTACATGACAATGATGAATAATTACTATGAATAAAACAATGATGTAACAATAATAACTTCGAACGAAATGCTTTTTGGAACCCTAGATAGATAGATAGATAGATAGATAGATAATGTTAGTGGTAAATATACATACATATGCAAAATATATAAATACCCATACATGTATATTTTTAGAATAAAAATTCCAAGAGGAAGAATCCAGGTAGAACTCAATGTCTAGGACAGAGTAAGGATATAATAAAATGGCTTAAACACTAATATTCCATGGTCATAATTTATTCCATTGGAATTAAGTAATTTATTCCATTTCATTAAGTAAGAGAAAAATGATTGTACAATCACTTTTCTCTGACTTAAAGCCCTTCCACCCACCTCTCCTAAAATTCTCTCTGTTAAGGTTTAATCTCCTCCTCCTCCTTACCTCTCTCTAAATTCTGTTTCTATTTCCGGAGTTGTTTTTTCTGTTTTTCTTTTTGAATTTGTGGCTCTGATGAATTTGATCGTATTTTCGATTCCAATGGAATAAATTATGACCATGGAATATTAGTGTTTAAGCCTTTTATATATATATATATATATATATATATATATATATATATATATATATATATATATATGTTGTTAATATTTCGGTCTCTCAAGTGGTACGACGTCATATAAGCGCATCATGAATTTATGACCTGTCTCTGCTATTACGCGACCGTTGTCGTCGTATGGCAACCTTCTATGTTAACATAACAGAGTATTATCTTTGATGGTGAAGATATTTGTTTAAATGTCCCTATAACCATGCTGAAAATGGTTCATGTAACCGAAAGCTTAGATCGAGGAACAGCATAAGAATAAATCTTCCAAATTTTGGACAATTTTGTCTTCATTTTCACCCGAAATTAAAGCAAACATACGAGGTTTAGA